CGGGCGACGCGGGCGTGCTGGGGCACGCCGCCGCGCGCCTGCTGGCCGAGCACCCCGCCACCGCCGACGGGGCGGCCGCCGAGCTCCTGGCGCGGCGCGAACCCGGGGTCAACGACGGCTCGGCCCTGGGCGCGCCCTCCAGCCACCCCTCCGACACCGCGGGCAGCGAGCTGGCGCGGGCCAAGGCCTCGGAGGTGGACGCCATCCTGTCGGGAGGCAGCGAGGATGTCAGCCTGGGCCTGGCCTCCCAGTTCTCCCCGGTCCTGGCCGACAAGAACAGGGTGTGTTTTGTGTGGGGGGCTGTTCTGGGGGTGAGGCGGGCCGTTGATGGAGTATCGTTGTTGTGTGTGTGTGTGTGTTGTGAGTGGGGGTGTTCTGATAGCCCTGTGCGAGCAATCGTCGAGGCTGGGCCTGGGAGGAATCTGAGCCAGCCTGTCCCCGGGCATCCACCTGGAGCCTGCTCGTAGGCGGCCCTAGCCCACACATCCCGAGCTGCCCAGGATCTTCCCCTTGCAAAGCCTGCTCACACCCTTATTTACTCCCACTTGTTCTCCAGGAGGTGGAGGACCTGCTGGCGGGGAGAACTGCGCCGGAGGCCAGCCCCTGGGGCAACGGCGCGTCGGCGGGCGCCGGCAGCGACGCCGCCGTGTTCGAGACCTTTGGCACCACGCGGGCCTCTGGAGGTGCGTGTGTGGGTGTATGTGTATGAGCAGCTCATTGTCTTTCTTTTTTGGGGTCGGAGGGCGAGGCGGAGCAGGGTCGGGTACTTGTGTGGATGCACACTGGAGTGTGGTGGGGCGAACAGGAGAGGGTTTGTGGCAGTGTCCAGGGGGGGAGGTTCATGGTGCCCCGGCGCCCCACAAGCTCAGCTATGTGGAACCACGTGCGGCCACCCTGCCCTCCCCCGGCCCCCCTTCACAGGCTCGCCGGATGCCACGCCGAGGTTCGGGACGGGGACCTTCCCCCCGCTGGAGCCCACCCCCGAGGAGACGGAGGCGGGGGAGGGAGGGTGGGCCGCCGCCGGCCCGCCCGCCGGCGCGCCGCACGGCCCGCGCATCGCCACCGTGGCGCACATGTTCATCGCGGACTACAGCCAGCCCGACGAGCTGTCGGTGTTCGAGGGCGACGCGGTGAGGGGCGTGGGATCCTGGGGGAGGGTGCAGGGACGGGGTCCTTGGGGTGCTGGTAGTGTCGATGGAGGAGGAGGAGAGGGCGGTGGGTACGACAGCCCATGCGGACCACTCCATCTCGCCGACCCCAGCCTCCCCCCTCGACCCATGACACACACACACACCCGACACACAAAGGTGGAGGTGCTGGAGGAGTCGGAGGGCTGGGCCCTGGTCAAGGACCCCTCCGGTGCGCAGGGCCTGGTGCCGCTGTCCTACCTGGCATTCCCCTCTGCCGGCGGCGCCAACGGCGGCGCGGCCCGCCCCGACGGGTCCTTCGGGGACGCGGGCGGCGTGACGCGCCGCTCGCGCTCGCTGTCGCGCACGGTGAGCGGGCCCGGGTCGCCCGGACCCTGGGGAGGGGCCGGGCGGCCCGCGCGCCAGCCCTCCCTGCAGTCCAAGGAGGACCTGCTGGGGGACATGTTCGACCGCGCGGGCGACCAGCACGCCGCCGGCGGCACGTTTGGCGGCGACGCCCGCGCGCACTCCTTCGGCACCCCGCCGGGCGGCGGCGACGAGGACGCCGCGCTGTTCGGCGGCGGCTACTCTGCGCCCCTGCCCCCCGAGGCCGCGCCGCGGCGAGCCGGCGGCGGCGGCGGCTCGCCCGCGCAGGGCCAGCGCCGCCGCTTCGGCAGCGGCGACTGGGGAGGCCTGCTGGGCGGCGGCGGCAGCGCTCGGCACGGCGGCACGGATGCGGGGCCGGGACCGGCGAGGATGCTGTCTGGCGTGGGCGGGTTGCACCACCGCACCGTCTCGGGCGGGTCCAGCGAGCGGGGCGGCGCGTCGACGCCGGTGTCGCCGGGAGGCGGCGGGGGGAGGCCCGGTACGGCCTCTGAGGGGGACCGCGCCATCGTCGCCGGTGAGGGTCTGGCAATTGGAGGGGGGGAGGGGCGCTGCGGGGTCCCACTTGAGTCGGGTGCTGGAGGGTGCGCGCGGATCCGACGCTGTGCAGGCACTTGGCGAGGAGCGTTTCGGTGTGCCCGGGACTGGGATGCTCGCCCAGGAACAGCTGACTTTGCAAGCAGACCCTCACGGACCCCTGTTCCCATGCCACCCACCCTGCAGGCTTCGCGGCGGAGATGGAGGGGGAGCTGACCGTGGCGCCGGGAGACAGGGTGCTGGTGCACAACGACGCCGACGGCTGGGCGCGCGTGATGAGGCTGTCGGACGGCAGGTCGGGCCTGGTGCCCTCCTGGGCGGTGGCGGGCGGGGCTTGAGGTGGCGGGCGGGACTCGAGGTGGCGGGCGGGGCTCGAGGTGGCGGGCGGGGCTCGAGGTGGCGGGCGGGGCTCGAGGTGGCGGGCGGGACTCGAGGTGGCGGGCGGGGCTCGAGGTGGCGGGCGGGGCTCGAGGTGGCAGGCGATCCAGGTGGGCGAGAGAAGTCGACCAGGGGAGCCTCGGCCAGGCCTGACTCATGGCTGCGGTGCGCCTGGGCGCACAGGGAAGATATCACGCCGCGTCAGCATGTGGCCCCCGACTATTGTGATCTCCGGTTACAGCGCAGAGCAGGTCTCAGGCCATGCACTGCAATGAAAGCATGGGCAAACGAAAGGATGTGGAGGGCCCGGGGGCGCCTCAAGAAATGGGGAAGAGGGTCACCGCACACGCTGTGCGGCCAGGGGAAGGGGGTAGGGGAAAGAGAGACTCGACTCCGCGGCTCTGGCGAGCGTGCTGCTGGAGGGGGGGTGGATCTCAAGGGCAATGGCGCCCGGCAGGGCGCATGGGGGGCGGGAGCCCCGCATCAGACACGCCAGCACCTGCGCTCTGATGCAAGTATCGAAACAAGAGAAGGTGCACCAATGGTGGGAAGGGGTGCTTCTGAACCTTCTTCGGGGGCTGCAAAGGCGGGCGGGGGCGGGGGCAGCGAGCAGCGGAGGGTGCAAGCATGGAAGTGGGGTATCGTCATCGTCTCGGCACGGGGTTGACAATGCTTCTCGAAAAGGGCGTCAAAGGAGGTATGCATGTGTGCTCATGGCTCTACACTGTGCGACGAATGTCCACTGCGCCTAGGTCGCGGGAAGAAAGTGAGAATGGGAGGGGCACCTGCATGTCGCTGATGCTTTTTCGGCACGCGGGCGCGGACCCGGTCGTGGCTGGGTGTGATGGGGTGGTGCCTCACGGTTCCACTTTCCCCGTCCAGCAGCAGGAGTCTGCACCCAGGGCCGCTCGCAGGCAAACTCCTCGATGTTCTCTCAGAACAGGCACGCAGTGCGCCCAAACTCCGCAGAGTGGCGAGGGACGCCGTTGCGGGCATCGAAGAAGACGCGATCCTGTTGCGCAGTCGCCTGCTGCTGCAGGGAGGGAGTTGGTTTTTTGTGTGTGTGTGGGGGGGGGTGTTTATCACAGGTGTAAGGCAAGGACAACCAAGATGGTGCTTCCCTGGGCACGTCGCTGGGCAATTGCTTTCAATGGCCAGCTTGGATGCTTGGGGCACTCACATCGGAGAACATCGCCGCCCTCGGAACCGCACCGACACTGCACGTTCTGGAACAGCCTACAGAGTACACGCACACACACCTTGGCCAGGAAGGCGGTGTCGAAGGAGGCCGCCCGCGAGGCGGCGCCCGCGGCCTGCGTCTGGGCAGGGGGCCCCCAGGCAGCGCCGCCGGCAGGCCCCAGGAAGCCGCCCGAAGGCGCCGAGGAGAAGAGGGCGAAGCTCTCCAGGGGCGGCTGGTCATGGCCATGGCGCGGCCCCGGCGCACCGCCGCTGCCGTCCAGGCTGCAGGAGCCCAGGCCAGCGAGGAGGGCACTGAGGGAGGCCGAGTCGGCGCTAGCGCCCGCGCTGGCCACCGCGGCGGGGGCGAACGCCGACCCGCCCAGGCCGGAGTCGATGAGGGAGAGGAGGGCGGGGTGGATGCCCAGCGCACCCTCGGCCGGCGCCGGCGCGCCAAAGGGCGAGTCCAGGGACGCGGCACGCGGGTTGTACGCAGCGCGGATGGTGGCGTGCGCCGGGCCCGCCCCACTCTCAAAGCTGGGCCGGGCCGACCGCCCCGCGCCGCGCGAGGGCGACTTGCCGGCGGAGGGCGGCGTGCCACCCAGACCGCCGCATCCGGCCCCAGGCGCGCCCGCCGGGCCGCCGTCACGGCTGGGGCGGCGCGGCGCCAGGCCCAGCTTGCGCGCCACCGCGTTGCTCATGCGCGGCAGCTCCACGCCCAGCGTGGGCGAGGCCGGCGCACCGCCGGCCGGCCCGCGGAAGGGCTCGGGCGTGACGGGGGCCAGCGCGGCAGGCCGGGG